CATCGCTCCTGAAGTTTTGATGGATCATAAAATGTTTACACCAGCAGCTGATGTTTACAGTCTTGGCGTTATTATGACGGAAATATCAACTGGAAAACAAGCTTTTGAAAGTTTAGAATTTATTCCTGGGGCACCTAACTGTTATGTTAGATTAGCTAAGAGATGTGTGGATCCAAATCCTAAAAAACGACCTACTGCAAAATCTGTTAATCATCAAGTTGGACTTTGGATCGAAGAAATGTTAAGTTTAGATGAAGATAATGAAATTAAAAAGCAATTTTTAGAAAGTGATAATACGTCACAAGTAATTAACACAAATAAAAACTCGTCTCTGATGAGTAAACCCATCGATACCATCGATATTTCTGAGTAAAAAAATAAATTATTTTATGAATATATTTTATGTTAATGTGTGGGATATATTTTTATAAATCCACTAGCTGTAAACCCGGGCGTTGCTCCGGGATAAAATTTAATTTTCTAAAATTTTTTTAAAATTCGATTTTTTTATTTATTTTTAACTTATAAGCTTTTTAAAGTTTTAAAAAAAGATATTATATTTCATCACTATAGTGATATATCGCTACCCCTAATTGACTAATTAGAATGCAAGATCAGGTGTAATATAAAATTAAAACAAAATATTATCTTATCTAAAAAATTATTTGTAATCTAAAAATTTTGCTATAAATCTATTTTTTGTGTTTTAACAAAAAAATTTTATATATAATTTTATTATTAAACCTTTTTTATTGTCTTTATACTATTTTTACTTCATCCTAACTCTAACTTATGAAAAATTAGATTATTTTAAGTTATTTTAATTTCATATTACACAGATTTTATAGATGGTAATATACTGTATTATATATGTAAAAAATTATAAAATTTTGTAAAAAATATATATATTATATAATTAAAATTTAAAGAAGTTTTTAATAAAATAATCTTTTTAGATTTAAATTAAAGTTGTAGAGTTAACTTTTCTGATTTTAATAATATTTAAAAAGGATGTGGTGACTTAGAGTAGTGGTTAAGTTGTCATCCCCAAGCAGCAGGTCTAGAGTTTGAATCCCACCAGAGATGTTTTTAAAAAAATAAGCCTGTGTACCAGTAATAATTATTCAACGATCAGTTGGGTATATCACCTGTAATCTTGGTACTACTATCTCGAAATAGAAGCTCTTAGGCAATCCAAATCCAAGAAACTGAAATAATTGAAACTCGTTTGGCAAGACCCGAATAAGGAGGTAGTAAAGATCTTTGACAATACTGCAGAAAAGTCGAAAACCGGCAACCAAAGAACCAAACAAAAACCCTGGGGCAATAAGGGTTTACCAACCTGGCCATCGGAGTCACACCAGAGGAAAAGGTCCTATGCTACAGAATTAGGAACCAAGGAAAGTAAAACCGGAAGGCACTTAAAGCCTAGGTACAACATCTATCCAGGCTAACTGGTTTGGTAGTTGGGAAGGAATCAGTATAAGGACCAGCTTGATGTGGGTATCAGGATTAAAATGAACCTTGCAAGGGTACCAAATACTAGAATTGTGCAGTTTAATAGTTTGCCCTGACTACTAGTAGTGGATTTGACTGCTACAAAAAGTATTCGTAGCCTAATCTGGAAGTGTATAGGATATAGAAAGATTAGGGAGTATATACTATACCCTCCCTAGGGCAACTCGGTAGTATGAGAACCCTACTGAGTTATCTATAGAATTAGAGCACAAGTAGTATAGCAGATGTTGATCTGGATGGCCTTCAATAAGAAGCAGCACGAGGTTATGAACTGGTGTAGTTAAGGTGGTGGTGCAGGACTGGGGACATCAGAGAGTTTAAATAGGTAATCTTCTAGTTAGGTTACAGGTATAGCATATAGTGTAGAACCTTCGGCGGATTACTTAAATTAGGCAATCAAAAGTTGTATATGTAGCTATATGTACTTTTGTTAACCAAGAATGTATTACTAAAATATCTAATAAAAATCTATCCTTTTGTGACATTGCGAAGATATAAAAAAAAACAAATAAATAAATAATATTTAAATTATTAAAATTGAATCAGTAGATCTCAAGATATTTAAAATTAAAGATATAAATATAATATTACTATACTGTATAATACTATAATAATTTGTATTTTTAAATCTAAATATCTTAAGATTTACCAAGCCAATTTTAATGATCTAACTATTATTAGAACCATAAAATTCTTCTTTACAACTTTATTTAGAAGCCCAAGAGAGATTATCTTATTAAAAACTTCTTTAATTTTTAAAAAAATAGAAAGAAGTTTTCAATAAGATAATCTTTCTTGGGCTTCTAATTAAAGTTGTAGAGCTAACTTTTCTGGTTCTAATAGTATTTAAATCATCAAAATTGGACTAGTAGATTCCAAGATATTTGAAATTAAAGATATGAATATAGTATTATAAACTATAATACTTTGTGTAACTACTCATTTGTAGATCTTTATATTTATGTTTTTAATTCCAAATATCTTGGGATCTACCAAGTTAATTTTGATGATTTAAATATTATTAGAACTAGAAAAATCTTCTCTACAACTTTACTTAGAAGTACAAAAAAGATTGTTAGTGATGATACTGAAACAGAATAATGCTGAAACATACGTGATTATCTGTGCAGATCATATTCCTCAATTTTCTGAATTCTGTATAACACAAAAAATTCAAAACATCTGTTTTGTTAAAAATTGCTTATACTGTACTGTAGTTTAAATTTTCACATAAGAAACCACCTTTTATGCTTTAAAAAAAGGTTTTCTTGTACAATTTTACTATAAAGCACCCAATATCTAGCTATAATACAGATACTAATCCTAACATAAACAAAGATACCAAATTTTTGACTATCATGTGATTGCTAAATTTTGGTGCTGATAAGATTCTAAGTACTAAGTAAACTTGCTAACATTAATTTAGCTAAAGTAATACACAAATTATGTCAAGATCTAGTATAATTTCAATTAAAAAAATCGCTTGTTATTATTGTAATACACTAAAATTTCATTGAATTTTAATATTTTTCTCTTTTCTTTTTTTTTTCTTATATTTTATCATATTATTACTATATTCTTATCAATATTTTATTATATTATCATTATATATTATTATCATTAGTATTACTATTTATAATCATTTATATCATATATATTAGTAATTAATAAGTGAGTATAGGGAATATTCATATTTAGAAGCTAATATCTCGAAAACTAATACAAAAACCTGTTGTTGCGCATTAACAAACCCCCTATTTTGGGTCATAGAACATTTTTGTCTTAATAAGCTAGATTGATTATTATAGTAAAATTTTTAGTAATTAGCCATTTTTTGATAAACATTCTAGAACTTACTAATTAGTGTAACAAAATTTAATTAAATGTAATATGTGATATACTATGTAACCTTATATATGTCACATAATAGATAAACATTAAATTAACATCCACATAGTCCCAAAACATTATAAATAGCTACTCTTTTCCCTTTTCTCAATATAATTTTGTATAAGTTCTCATTTTTGATTGCTAATAATAAAATACTATTGTCTTCTTGGAAATTGGCATTTTCCTTGAGTTTTTGTTATCATTTTTATCATTTCTTGATATCTTTAGAGTGTATAAGGTTTGGATTCTCAGAGTCTAATAGTGTTCGATGTATTGCTTGAGCTAAGTTTGGACTCCTTTGAATCTAATAAAGTTATACTCCACTTTATCTGCTTTATATTATTCTATTACAACTTTACCTTTTAAATATTACTCTCTGCTTTAGTTTTTTAAATCAAACTGCTAGTTATTGCTTCCTTCTGCTGGTCTTTATTTTGAGCCTTGTTATACAAAAATAGAGTAATAACATTATTACAAAAATTTGATGCAGAAAAACTTTTATAATCTTCCTAATTCTAAACTGTTATTTTGATTTTATGTTACCTGATCTTAGTGTTTATAGTCAATTTTGATCTTAGTCAACTTAGTCAACTTAGTCAACTTAGTCAGTCGATTTTTTAAAAAATTAACTTAGTCAACTATAATACCAGTCTGTATATACATAATTATTAGCTAATAATCTTTTATATAATTACTATACTATACAGTGCATGATTCAAAAATAATAAAAAGAATTATTATACTGTAGGTTGAAATTATTCATTTCATATACCAAAATAATCCTGATATAATATTTTGAGCCATAAAAGATATATATATATTTAAATGGCCTTCAATTAATTAGGCTCTATCAGCATATATAAATTTTAAACTATTTTATCTTTATACAGAATTACAGTACTATATTTTAAATAATTAAGAGACTGTACTTGATAGTCAGTATTAAATTATTATATAATTATAATTATTCAATCAAATTTATCGACTAAACTATAGTTAACTTAGTCGATTTTTTAAATATCGACTTAGTCAAGTCGATAAATAACAATTGACTACAAATACTACCTAATCTTATGATTTTTTTTTAAAAAAAAAAAAAAATAAAAAAAAAACAAATAAAAAAACAAATAAAAAAAATCTAAAAACAAAAAAAATCTAAAAAAAAAAAAATTTAAAAAAAAAATCCTAAAAAAATCTAAAAAAAAACTCTAAAAAAAACTAAAAATTTAAATTACAATCTTTTTTTTATAGCCCGCACCTGTTTAATAGGAACATGAATATCTTTGCCATTAACTTCAACTACAGCAGTATGATTATTGGACTTAAGTAACTTAAAAACACCCTGTTCAAAAAAAGTTGACTGTAATTTTCTTCTGCAAGTCTGCTGGTTCATATCGTGATCTAGTATGATAAAAATTTCGATCTCAGCTTCAATTGTATTGTTTGCAATCTTTTTTCTATGCATATTTTGATGGCCTAATTTCATATAATATTCCTCAAGTACAGCATTTATGGATTGACAGATTTCAAGCATTTGTGAAATATGTTGTTCTACAGCAGCTTCATTGGTGATGATGTCAAAGGTGAAGGTTTCAGAAGCATATGTAGTTCTAGAGAAGGCAGCTTCAGGGGCAACATCAAGAGCAATGTTAAGAGCAACATCAGAGACAACATCAAAGCCAATATCAGAAGCAACATCAGAGGTGACATCAAAGGCGATATTAGAAGCGACTTCAGAGACAACTTTAGAAGTGACTTCAGGAGCAACATCGAAGATAACTTCAGAAGTAGTTGTTTCAGAGGCACTTGTCATACAGAATAGTCTTATGTTAGTAGTTCTAAATATTTAAAATAAAATTAGTTTTATTTTTCATATGTTAAAACAGTTTTAACATATTCAAAATAAAACTAATTTCAAATTTTAGAATAAGTAAAGTTATATAAACTGTGAGTATTATAAACACAATGCATTTTTTACCCAAAAATTGCTTCATGTAGTGTGTGACCATATGCTTTGTGAATGCTTGAGTTATATGATATAACAAACACATCGATTATATTGATCTAATCTTTTCTTTGTATTTGGTTATTTTGATCCCAGAGCAATATAGTAAAACCACAATATACAGTCTGGTTGAGCTACTCTATTTGATCTTGTAACTGTAGATAGCAGACCCGACCATGCCTAATCATAATATTGAGGGCCTCACAAATTTGGTTGATGATTTCCGCAACAAATTCCTTATCATTATTACTTTGAAGAATCGCAGAGAGCCAAGAATCTGAAAAACATCTTTGAGAAGATGTATTATAACTGTACTTTCTTTCTTGTTTTTCATAAGAACTACAACAAGAAACTTGAAGAATATACAAACACAAGTTAATAGCTATGCAAAACCATTATTAGCTTCAACAAAATCTTGAAAGTCAACCAGATCAATTTGAACATGCTGCCAGGGTGCCAATGATACTACAGATATTATATTTGTTTTTTCTTTAATAGAGATGGTTACAATGCAAGCAGCACACTGATTTACATATGCCTTTATTTCCTCTTGCGTGATTATAATGTATCTTTCTGAAATCGTGGAGAAGGTTTTATAATACTCATAGTGGTTGGCTTGGTCATAGAAATATAACAATATTAGAGCACGCATTTCTATATCATATCTAGGAATTACACAATGTTTTCTAATATAATTACACCATCCTTTACAACTGAATAAACGTAGAGAACCTTATTTTCATTAACATTAAATTTTTTGTAACGTCAGATAAAATTTGATCTTTTTATGCAATCTTGTTGGATATTGTCAAATATGGTTTCTGATCGAAAATACTTAATGATTGCTTGGTAGTTCTCAGAGGTCTCAAGAATCTTTGGTATGGCTGGCATAATTTTTCCTGGTCTATTAATTTTTGAGTTTTATAGTAAGTGTTCTTTTTTTTTTTTTGTAGCTTGCTAATTTTTAGTTTTTGAGTATGTTTTTGCTAGTGTTTCGCAGATCTGATCTGAAGATCTGGTCATCAGATCAGATTCAGATCTATATTTGACAAACCCAGATCTATATTGAGATCCGATCTGATATACCCATTTGGATCCATTTAAATAATGTATAATGATTGAATATAAATATTATACTTTAATTGGTTAAGTATGCTGATAATATCATATTATAATTGGTTTCACATGGTAGGTGCTACAAGGGTTGAGTTGTACTAGGCTGCATCGTAATTTTGATAAGATTGTATAACTTAAAAGTATAATCAAAGTCTATTATCTATCATATATCGATATGTAATGTAGAAGTCTATTATAAAAAACAGTGATGTAATTAAATATATATAAATAAGAGGTTCGATCTTTGAGATTGAACCTACACTTTGATTTTTCGTTAAATAAATTTAAATCTGAAAGATAATATTATAATACTTTAAGCACAAGGTGGTGTTGTTGTTATAGAGGAGGTGTTGAGTGTAGATACTAACAAAGCAGAGTGATAATAAGTGTCAAATACCTTTTTTTAAACCAAAAAAAAAAATTTTTAAAAAAATTTTTTTAAAAAAAAATTTCTGATCATTAAGAATTCTCTTAAAATCCCTATATAAAAGCTTTATTTACAATGTTGATACCATATACGCCCTCTTATGATAAACTTGAAGAACCTGAAAATGATCTAGTACCTATCTACTAGGATGAATATGAAATTAGCAAATCATCTTCAGTCCAATTAACTCCAGTTCAATCACAAGTTAGCAGTTACAAACCTGTACGTACTAGGTAATAAGATTTGAAACTTTATATTTAATTTATAGTATAAAGATTTAGTGAACAATTATATTATTATAATACATATTTTCTTACCATTTGTCTTATATTGTAAGTCTTTTGTATAGAAATACTTTAAAAAAAAAGGAAGCTATGCGATATGTGATTTTTGTGAAAATAAATATACGTATCAAGATGGAACCACATCAAATCTTAAAAAGCATCTTAGTGCACATAAAAAGTATATACCTGAATTAAAAAAACCTGATACAAAAAAAGATGGCACTTCTGTTATAAAGATGTTAAACAATCAAAAAAATATAAATTTTTCATAAATATCACAGGTCAAAATAAAGTATATTGGAGTCATATCGGCATTTTTTAATCCTGATATGAGCCCGATATTAAACTGAAGTTTGGCAAAAATCGGATACCAATAGGGAACCAATCGGAGTAATATCGGTATTATATATGCCACCAAAATAGGTTTTCAAAAAACTTCTATTTCGTCTCTATTAGAGCAATTTGGAATTTTTTATATGCAATAGCAAATCTAATTTAGGTAGTTATGTTCCTTATAATTTTATCTCTTTAAAAAAAGTGTCAAAAAATTTCGTCTTTTAAGTAAAGTAGGTCAAAAATAATTTTATCTTCAAATTTTAAGTTCGTACCCCAAAACCTAAAATAATTTCATCAGCATATATAATCGGTATAAATACATATCGGTTAAACTGATAGCTCTATAGAAATGTTAATATAGCTATCGACGTTATATCCGATATCTATATCGATATTTTTATATAGCTATCGGTTTAACTGATGTGTATTTATGCCAATATTACCCCGATTGGTCCCTATTGGTATCTGATTTCTGCCAAACTTCGGTTTAATATCAGGCTTATATCAGAATTAAAAAATGCTGATATGACTCCGATATACTTTATTTTGATCTGTGTATATAATAATTAGAAGGAAATAATCATATAATTTAATATATAATTATATTTATTACATTATGAAAATTTTTAAGAGGATAGATACCGATTATAATCAGGAAAATCGATATATATCGATGGCAAATAATCAATTATAATTGACAGAGGGGCTATACATTGATTTGTAACACTATCGATTATAATCTATTATATATATATAACAATTATCAATTATAATCGACAGAGTAAAAAATCGATTAAAATCAATAGTATAAAAAATTTGATATTTTTAGCAAAACTTTGAAGATGAATATCTCCATAACTAGTAATTCAAATCGGCTCAAATTTTTACCAATATTAGATATGATATTAATCTATAAAATACTGAAGTTTCGTTTAATTTGGCTTTGTAGTTCTCAAGAAATTGCTTGTATACAATAGTCAATTTTTTTAAAAATATTGACTATCGTATACAAGCGATTTCTCAAGAACTACTAAGCCAAATTAAACGAAACTTCAGTATTTTATAGATAAATATCATATCTAATATTGGTAAAAATTTGAGCTAATTTGAATTACTAGTTATGAGATATTCGTCTTCAAAGTTTTGCTAAAAATATTGAATTTTTTATACTATCGATTTTAATCGATTTTTTACTCTGTTGATTATAATCGATAATAATCGTTATATATCGATTAAATCACCCAGATATATATCGATGCATAGCACTTAAAAAATTTTTCTGATGTAGCCAACATGCACTTCTAAGTGGTAGAAATGGAGAAGCTAGACTATACAACTATAAAACTTACAAGAAGAACCTTATATACTCTTGTTAGCCCACTACTTTTTTTTCAAGAAAATTTTTGTAAAAAGTGGGCATTTTAGCCTACTTTCTCCAAATGATCGATATCATAACAAGTTGGTATTATTTATCTCCCAAATCAGAACATGGTAACAAATATATGTATATATGTACCTTGAATACAATAGATATCTATACAAACTATGCTTCAAGACTCTGTTTCAACCTTTCTACTTTAAGCCAGTTGATAAAGTTTTTCTTATTGAGTTTTTACTTTTGCATATTAGTTTAGAGAAAAATAGAAGTAGAAACTAATTTGTTTAGTCAGTATATAATTTTTTCAAGCTACCCACAGGCTTATAACTATAGTATTAAGATTAGCAAATTTTCTGTGTTGTTTTTGTTTTTTTCGATATTCTTTTACTCCTTTTTTTTTCGTATTTTGTATTCTTTTACTGTAGTCTCCTATACTTCTGTGTTTTTTTTTTAGTTTGTTTCTTTTATTTTCTGATTTTGCTTCTTGATAAGCGGGTAGCCGCCAGCTGATAAACAATAAAAAAAAAGTCCTTAGTGAGTTAAGGACCTAAGGAAGGCCAAGAGCTATTGAGGAAAATCACACCTGATATATAAAATTACGTGAGCAAGTTCTTCGTTTGGTTGGATCTACTTTAGTTAAAGATAAATTACTTGTAATTTTGAATAACTTGATCTCAAATAAACAAGGGCAGGATAGCC